GACATCCCTAAATATGTTAATGGTTATTGAATCTATATTATATTAGGGTTTTTTAATGGGTTTTATGTAACATGATATAACATCATTTTCCTAGACACACATTAAAGAAGTGGAGTCCACATGTTTTTCTTTCTCTTTCATCATTCCACTTTCTCTCTCCATTTTTTTGTGTGTGTTGGAAACAACACTTAAATCATGTAACATAACACTAATAAAACCATTTTTTAATCTGTACGTGAAGATTTGTTTTTTCTTATTGACGTCTTTTGTAGCTATTAATCATGACATATAGTGAATAACATGTTAGAGTCTCTTAGTTTGTTAATTTCTTTCTCTTATTTGGTTTAGTTAGTTCAACTCGTTCTTGGTGTATATAATGAGGGTTCTCAGTTGTAAACTTATTCATTCATCCAATGAAAATAATAAGCAAAGCTCCTTTTTCTCTTTCTTGTATTTTTAATAGGTGGCTTGGGAGAATAATTTTAGAAAGGTTTGGTGAAAAGTGATTCTTTGATAACCATTGATCTCGTTAAGCTGGATGTAATTCACTTTATCTTATGTCAAACCTGATTCATTATGTTTTGGATCGAAGGTGGGAAATCCACATAAACCATACTTATGGAGAAGGGAACGAGTATCAAATTTCCTGCCTTGGGATGCATACAAATATAATTGGAGTGTCTATATTTTTTAAACTCCACCTGGTGTGCTCAACTGCTTTGGTGTAGGGTTTTTAAACTCACTATGAGATGTTATATGGGAAACCTCCAATTCTGATCCATTTGCGAGTTTTTTGGTGCCTTTGTTATGCATCCACTATTTTATCTCATCGCACTAAGTTTTTTCCATGAGCTAGGAAGGCAGCTTTTGTTGGATATAAAGATAGGACCAAAGGATACTTGTTACATGACCTAAACTCTCATGAGCTTTTTACTTCACGCAATGTTGTGTTTTATGAAGGAATCTTCCCATTTTAGTCAAATACACATCCTCAACCTCATATTGACTCACCCTCTTTGCCACCAGACCTTGAGACCTTCCCTGACTCTTATGATTTGACCTTCCCTTTGACTACACCAATTACTCCATATACTGAACTTTTAAGCTCCAACCAAAATACACCTGGTACCAATTCAAAACAACCCATACCAGTTTAGAGACCAATTATTCATCTTCAGGCTCACTTACACCAGAAATGGCTGCTCTTGGTCGATCATCTCGAGTTCATGCTCTTCCTCACTATCTCATTGGCTATCATTGTGGGTTTTCTGTTACTCACGATACTTAGTCCTCTCCAAGTACCCCATTTATCCTTTATATGATGTATTATCGTATAACCTTTGCTGCCCATCTTACAAACGTTTTTGTCTGAACTCTTGTATCCACTTTGAACCTCATACCTATTCACAAGCTGCTGCACATAAAGAATGGCAACAAGCTATGCCAGCTAAACTTGCAGCCTTGGAGCAAAATCAAATGTTGTCTCTTGTTGAATTACTTCCCATTATGTAACCAATAGGTTACAAGTAGGTCTACAAGATTAAGTACCGTTCGGATGTCACTATTGAGCGTTATAAGGCGAACTTATGGCGAAGGGATTCACGCAGCAAGAAAGGGTTAACTATTTTGATACGTTCTCCCATGTTGTGAAGCTTAACTCGGTTCAAACTCTCCTAGATGTTGCTGTAGTAAAAAAATGATACCTTGCTCAGCTTGATGTGAAACACGCATTCCTCCACGGTGATCTTAACGAGAAGTTTATATGCAGCTTCCACCTGGTTTGCAAACTTCTCATCCCAACCTTGTATGCAAGCTCCAAAAGTCTTTGTATGGCTTAAAATAGGCGAGTCGCTAATGGTACGCCAAACTTTTATCAGCCTTAATCTTACTGGGTTATGTCCAAACTAACTCAGATCATTCCATGTTCGTTCGACACACCCCTTCAAACCTTATAGTACTCTTGGTATACGTGGATGACATAGTGCTTTCGAAAGATTTCCTTGAAAAGATCAATCGAGTGAAGTCTCACCCTGATGCTAAATTCAAGATAAAAGATCTGGGAAATCTGAGGTACTTTATGGGGCTTGAAGTGGCTAGATAAAAAACTGGGATCATTGTCAACCAATGAAAATATACTCTTGAGTTAATCTCTGATGTTGAGTTGTTGGGTGCAAAGACTGTGTCTACTCCAATGGATCCCTCTTATAAGTTATCTCGTGCGCAAGGGACCATGTTGCCTGATGCTACCCCATATTAGACGTTTGGTTGGTCGTTTACTTTATTTGACCACCACGCGTGTTAACATTTATTTTGTCGTTCAGTAGTTGTCGCAATTCGTTTCATGTCCCTCTGATGTTCACGTGGCAACTGAGAATTGTGTCTTGAGGTATCTAAAAGGGTGTACAACGATTGGGTTGTTTTTCTCAGCGTCTACCAATCTTCAAGTGAGTGTTTTTGCTGATGCAGATTGGGCCTACTGCCCAGATACAAGGCAGTTAGTTTCAAGGTATTGTGTTTTTATTGGATCATCGTTGGTAACATGGAAGGCTAATAAACAAAATACCATTTCACGTTCTTCATCAAAAGCTAAGTATCGAGCCTTGGCAAGTCTTTTGTGTGAATTACAGTGGCTACAATATTTGTTCACGGACCTGCACATTCTTTGGAGCAAACCAGCGTCAATGTTCTGTGATAATAGATCAGTTATTTATCTCGCTCAGAATCTAAAGTTTCACCAGCGTTCCAAGCATATTGAAATCGATTGCCATGTTACGCGTGATAAAATTGTATCTGGGTTGATCCATTTACTTACGGTGAGTCCTACTTCTCAACTCGCTGATGTGTTCACAAAGCCTTTAGGCACTCCATCCTTCAGTTCCATCATGTCCAAGATAAGTCTCGCAAATATCATGCGTCCATCTTATGGGGGGGAGGTGTTGCAGAAGTTCAGAAGTGAAGGAGTTTGTGATGACGTGGTTCGTAGAACTATTAAATTGGTCTGGATAAAGGAAATGAGATAGCTGACGTGGATGGAAAGGATGTAGTTGCTGACGTGTCTTTTGTAGCTATTAACCATGACAGATAGTGAATAACAGATTATGGTTTAGAGTCTGTTAGTTTGTTAATTTCTCTCTCTTATTTGGTTTAGTTAGTTCAGCTCGTTCTTGGTGTATATAATGAGGGCTCTCGGTTGTAAACTTATTCATTCATCCAATGAAAATAATAAGCAAAGATCCTTTCTCTCTTTCTTGTATTTTTAATAAGTGGCTTGGGAGAATAATTTTAAAAAGGTTTGGTGAAAAGTGATTCTTTGATAACCATTGATCTCGTTAAGGCTGGATGTAATTCACTTTATCTTATGTAAAATCTGATTCATTATGTTTTGGATCGAAGGTGGAAAATCCACCTAAACCATGCTTATGGAGAAGGGAACGAGTATCAAATTTCCTGCCTTGGGATGCATACAAATATAATTGGAGTGTCTATATTTTTTAAACTCCACCTTATGTGCTCAACTGCTTTGGTGCAGGGTTTTCATCCTTACGTGTGATTCAGAATTGAGATGCAATTTTTTCTAATTTTTTGTTGTTACCTATCTATATGTATCCCCTAAAGTTGATGACAAAATAAACTTAACTTTTCTTTTAAATTTTTTCTCAATTCTAAGTTAGTAATGCCAATGAAACATTTTTTTAATATTTTTTTGATGCCAACAAAGATTTTGATTCACTTTATTGGCCTCGTAACAAAGATTTGGATTGGAATATAAGAATCCCCCATTATAAATAAAATTATAATTTCAATATAAATTTTTACTTATCAAGGTGTTCTGAAAGACTGAAAAAAATCAAGAGAATTTTCCGTCACTCAAGATTTCTTTTGAGAAAAAACAAAACAGTAAATTTCTATAAAATGCTAAATTGCGTGAATCCTGAGCTTTCTCTGCTCATGTTGTATTTTTGTTGTTGCATATTTGATTCAAATATTACACACATGCGGAAACGCTATAAGCATGTAACAGATGGAAACCTGAAGCGCAGTAACGCTAAGCATTTAGTACCATATTAAAATAAAAAAATTTATTTTATTGCGCTAGCTAACAAATAGTAATTAATGTATTCGATTTCTTTTAATCCAATAAATACATATGGGTCACACCTCACACAATAGGCGTGTGAATATGTGATAAATTATTATGAATTCACTTAAAGTGTGAGAGGGTAGTGCCTATCAGCACTGTTACTTAATCAAGGTGGTTTTGTCAAAGGCGCAAACAATGAAGGAAATAAAGTGGCTTTAATGGAGGGGGCCATCCTTAAGCACAAACATTAACCATTAAGCAAAGATTATAGGGAAAATTATTCGATGGGATAAGAGACGTTAGTGGTAGGGTAGTATGCCCTTATCAACTCATGGTCCACACATCAAATATGGGCATATAGTAATACTTTTGTGTGAATATGAAAAAAGAACTATTTAAAAGGGGATTCGGTATTATTCACCTTTGATTGATAGCAGATTTTGAGAAGGTGAAAAAAATAAAAAAAATAAAAATACAATGCTTATGGTAACATCAAGTGGTTGTAGTTGGTATTTTATACGTTATATAGAATCCCCAAACAGGAAGGGAAAGCTACCCATTCGTATTTCATATTTCATTACCCACAGAAAATGACCAAAAACAAGAGTTAGGAAAACACTTAGGATAGATAATGAGATGAAAGTGTTGTTTGAGGAATTTGATGTCAAACCAACCCAACTAGTAACCTTTGCAAATAAAGAAAATCCCATTAATTGAGAATTAAAGATAAGGATATGACCCCAATAAATAGTAATCAATAATAATTATTAATAAATAAAATAAAATAAAATAAACCCTTATTAAGGGGTTAAGGGTCAAGAACCTGTTTAGTGTACACTACAGCCAGTAAAAAATAAAAATAAAAACCCCATTTTCACAATCAAAAGCCACAAAAACCCCTCTCTCTCTCTCAGTCTCTCACTCACACTCTCTCTTTCTCTCTCAATTTTTATTTTTCTCTGTCCCTTCATTCTTACGGAGAAAAACCATGGGCTAACCCTCTCTTTTCTAAACGCCGTAACGGACATTCTCAAAGGCACCGTCACAAACAAACCCGTGCGAGTCACGTGCCTTCTAAAAACCCTTTCTTTATGGCTTTGGAGCTAACTTCCAATCCCAACTCCGTTGACGGCGAGCCAGACGGAGCCGGTAACGGTACGCCGCCTTCCTCCGCCGCCAACGGCGGCGATGACGGGAGACCGGCGGCGAGGCTGCCGCGGTGGACGAGGCAGGAAATCTTGGTCCTCATACAGGGAAAGACCGACGCGGAGAGACGGTTCAAACCGGGACGAGCCTCCGGTTCGGCGTTCGGTTCGAGCGAACCGAAATGGGCCTTGGTATCGTCGTACTGTAAGAATCACGGGGTGAACCGGGAACCGGTTCAGTGCCGGAAGCGGTGGAGCAACCTCGCCGGCGATTACAAGAAGATCAAGGAGTGGGAGTCTCAGGTAAGGGACGAAACGGAGTCGTTTTGGTTGATGAGGAACGATTTGAGGAGAGAGAGGAAGTTGCCCGGTTATTTTGACAGGGAGGTGTATGATATCCTCGACGCGTCGCCGTCGCCGTCGTCTGCGGCGGCGGGGACGGCGGCGTTAGGTCTTCCTACGGCGACGGTGACAGAGGCTGTGGGTGATGAGGAGGTGCACCTTTATGACAGTAATCGGAGGGTGGGTGGTGAAGATGGATTGTTCTCGGATTGTGAGAGGGACGAGGTTTTCGCTGCTGCCAAGGATGTTCCTGCGCCTGTTCCTATCTCAGGTTGGTTTCTTCATACATTTTGTGACACCCTTTGTGATTTTATTCAATTCTACTGTGTTGTTTTGTCTCATGTTTTTTCGTTTATACCAATGCTGTTGTGTTGTCCCTTATGAAGTTGAAGATGTTTTAGGTATAATACTAACATTCGTAGCTTGGGGAACACCCTTTTTTCGTCAATTCTGTTTTTGTTAAATTTTTTTTTTGTGGTTTTTTGAAATAATATATTTTCTTTTGTGACTTTTTATATTTTAGCAATGATGTTGTACATAGGAGGCCAAGACTAGTTAAAGGTTATAGGTTAGAATTGAGAAATAGTCTCTTTTGCAATTATATAAAGACAAGACGGCGTACGAGAATTTCTCTCGTATTAGTCGGGATTTAAAACGTTGTATGTAGCATTTTTTGATTCTTTAATTTTCCTTCTTGATTTTCTTGCTTTTGATTTACAGAAAAGCAATGTCAACTGCTGCTTGAAGGCTGCCAAGGGGAAGACAATGCTCAAGGTAATGTTGAGTTCTTAATGGATTTGACGATAGATTGAAAATCGTATATATAGTTTCGAGACTGAAATTATATGGTTAGAATAGCATTTAGCGCTGGTATTATGCGGAGTTGAAACCTTATATTTGTTCTAATATGGCTGCTTGTTCTAATTGTTGGTTTCATGATCTCTAACACTAATCTTAAGACAGCTTTGATATTTTTGTGTTAAAACTTAGAACCATGGTCATCTGACCAAAGATGATCTACGAGGCTCTAAACCTTATGTTTATGTCCTTCTCTTGTTTTCAAAGTATGGTAAAGTTGGAGCTTATTGGCCTCTTGAGTAAGCTAAAAAGTAAAAATCCATTTGTGACAGCTTGCTACCTCTCATTATTTTATATGTTTGTTTCCCCATGTTTCTGTTGTTGCTACTGATTCCTCTCAGCAGCTGCATCGTGATAAGTGCGAGAGTCAAGTCAATTGCTTGCTTGCTTCTACGTTTAGTTTTCTGATTTGATATTTCTCATTTAGATAAAATTATGAGTAAATATCTTTTTCGGTCCTTAGCAAATTTTACGATGTCCGCTTTAGTCCCTAGCAAATAAAAAGGCTATTCGTGGTCCTTAAGAAATTCAAAATTGATCCATTTTAGTCCTTTCGAGGGACTAATATGGTCTTTTTTGAATTTGTGAGGGACCACGATTTCAACTAAATGGATCTATTTTAAATTTCTTAGGAACCACGAATAGCCTTTTTATTTGCTAGGGACTAAAGCAGGTATCGTGAAATTTGCTGAGGACCAAAAATGATATTTACTCTAAAATTATCTCCTATACACATATAAAAATATATGGAGTCATGTGAAGAAAAGAGAGAAAAAAATGGGTCTCACGTACTTTTATATGCGTATACATGAGAGATATTAAACCCTGTTACATTTGGAATTTCAATAATGCCATGACATTTTATTTTAGTTTTTCATTCCTATATTATCCATACTTCCTGTACAAGCAGCTTTTGCTGGCATCCAAATCTCATTGTTGTAGATCGAATTTGTAAGCTCTAGTACAAACAAAATGATGTCTTATTTGAAGACAAAAATAGTAAAAGGCTAGCAATAAGCCACTTTTTTAGAGATTGTATTGTTGAGTCAGGAATTGATAGGATGGGTCATTCATTGTGTCATTTTTTTACTTAAAATTATCTTGAAAGCTCTGGTATAAATCATGTGTCTCTACAAAATGAATTTGATTGAAGTTCGATTCATGTGAATGAGTGATGTTTACAGGTATATTAGCCCGAATAATGGTGCTTATACATACTAACGTTTGCACATTTCATTGTATCCCACTTTAGGTCTCGTTGTTACTTTTTCTTAAATGGTCCACATCCTAGGCATACCCAAATAGTATGAGTACTATCTTTTACAATTCATGTCTCAAAAGAATGTTATTCATTTATCATAAATGGCAATCTGTTTCTTAGGCACTAGCTTTGGTTATGCCATGATTTAAACTTTCGAGCTTTAGCTTAGACTGTAGCTACATAAAATAGTCATAGGCATAGGATCATCAAAAGTTCTGGTATGACAATTACAATGTCTAGGAGTTAACTGATGATATTATTATATATTTAATTTGTTTAGACATTCTTTTAATTCTGCAGGTGCTACCAATGAGAAACAACCAGCCTCAAATCCAGAAATAGGTTCTACATCTCAAGGGGGACGCAAGAGGAAGCGTCTTGCAACCGATGGAGAGGAGGAAACACTGCAAAATCTATTAATTGATGTCTTGGAAAGAAATGGGAAGATGATAAGTGATCAATTTGAAGCCCGGAACATGAATTTTCAGTTGGATCGCCAACAGCAGAAAGACACTGCAAGTAACATAGTTGCTGTACTTGATAAGCTTGCAGATGCTCTAGGGAGAATTGCTGATAAATTATAATGATAGAAGAATCAGACTAGTGTGGATAATAGTTTGGAGTATATACAATAGTGGTTCCCTTCATTTATCTCAGGATAGCTTCAGAAGGTGAATGTCACACCTGTTCCTGGTTTTTTTCTCCTGCCTGCATATACCACCTTTTTGTGGTTTATTATTACTGCCATTATAACATTTTATTCACAAATTTGGGGTTTTTTCTCCTGCATTTGGAAGTTACTGCATTTATTCTCTTCTTTCATTGAGGCTATAAGAATCTTTCTCTCAATAATAGTAGCGGTTGTACAGATGATATAATTAAGGTGCATTTTTATAAGTTGTCTCTGATTGGTGCTCTTCCTGTATTTTGTTTTTCTGGCGCACAGTCATCTTTCTCCAGATTTATGGAATTTTTTTTTTTATTGAGTTAGCAATAATATTGTGAAAAGAAGTCTGGTCCTTGGATTAGCTTGTTTTACTTTACATTGTATTAAATGGTATAACACAAAAAGTGGTTGAGAAACGTCTTATATGTTTTTGGGAAATACTTATCTTATGTAACGTAAGATAGTTGTCTTATGTTTATGTTGCACACTCATAAAATTGTGTTCATTTTTTCTTTTCATTTTTTAATTTTTTAAAAATTATGGGCTTCATAACTTTGTTTCATCAATATAAGATACCTATCTTATGTTACATAAGATTAATAACTCCTGATATTTTTTAATACATTGCATTAGCTTGTTTTACTTTATATTGTATTAAAGTGGTATAACACAAAAGTAGTGTAGACCCTCTTAACCGCTATGTAGCACCGATACCGACACGGGACACATGACACATTACGACACGACACTCCGATACGTTAATTCTAAATAATGTTAGATTTCGACACGTTACGACACGTTTTGATATTAATAATATTTTTAATTTATGTAGTGTATATTATATTTAATATTCAATATAACAAAAAATGAATTTAAAATTATATTATACATAAATTTTGCGAAGAAACATAAGATATCCCAAATATTTATATTAGACTCAATAAAATAGTAATTGTAATCCAACGAATCTAATAGTTGGAACTAAAAACTCAACGCAACGCAACCTTTAAAACTTTTTTTAAATTTCTATAACGCGTGTTGGAGTGTCGGGGAGTGTCGGAGTATCCGAGAGTATCGGAAAGTGTCGGACACGACACGTCAAGATTTTTGAAGTGTCGGTGCTTCGTAGCTTAACCGTATACATTTGAGAAACCTCTTATTTCAATTAATAAATGGATTACTTAGGCGATATAAAAAAACAACGCAAATCAATAGAATCACGTTTTATTTGAAGAAAAGAGACATGAAGATGGCGGAACTTGAAGAGTGATACAATTTGTAACAAGTCCAAGAAAAACATTTTAAAAAGTTAGTACATAATACATGAATGAGCTCAAAGTAAATCTATTTTTCTACATGCATAATCCATAGCTTGGAGTAGTTGAAAGAAAATTGAAAAATGTATGGAAAATATATTTGAAAAGCTTTAGAATTTCAAATCATTCTTTTTCAAGTCAAGATCATTCATAAAAAATGATTGGAAGCAAGATAGAACGAAGTGTGTCAATATACTAAAGAATGAGAAATTGTAATCAAAATTTGTAATCATTGAGAAAATCAATAAAGATAAAATTATCTTCTACAATTTCACAATGACATAATTTTGAAAAAATTTAGGTTGCAAGAGAGATTTTTTGTTTTTTAAAATACCCTATATTTTTTCTTCAAAACCCAAAATGACATCGGTTTAAGGTTATATAATATTAATTTATCTTTTTTCATCTATATTTATAAATAAATATCAATATAAGTATCAAGTGAGAACACGATAAGTAAAAGTAAATGAAATGTATTTTGACTATACAACTATGCATTGATGATCAATATTAAATTATTATTTTTTGGTAAATTGATCAATATTAATTTTGACTATTCATGAAAGTTGAAAAAAAGAGAGTCTAAAAGTAACTCTTCTCCCATTTTCAGTTAGCTCCATGACAAAAAATATTAATTTTAGATAAGAAAATGATATAAATAATAATAATTTTTATTATTATCACATAATTTTAATTTTATTTAAAGAATTGTAATAACTTAAGCTTTATGTTCAAATATTTATTTTATATTTAAGTTATATTCTAACAATAAAATATTAAATTACTATAAGAAGATATTTGATAAAATAAAGAAACATAGCAACTTATAAACGTCTAAATTTTATATTTTTAAACAAGTTCACATTTGAATTTAATCCTGTAAAAAAAAATAACAATTTTTTTGAACAAATCAACCCACATATTTTATTTAGTTTTTCTCTTCTGTTTTTATTTTTCTTAAATATAATTTTTTTATTGTTGTATGTCAACTTATATGACATGTGACAAGTCTGTTAAATTTTTTTATAATTATTATGGGTTAGTTTTTTGTTTTTAATAAAAATGAGCTAAGTCATATATTGGAGTGCAGTATAAAGCTTAGTTAATTAGTGGTCTTTTTGATTTGGGCTTGGATATCTGTAAATTGATTAGTGTGGATAATAGTGATAAGTGTCTAAGACTATGTTTTATGGCTAAAAAGAGTTCAAATAATGACTAAAATAGTTAAAAATATAGTGTTAAAACAATAAAATAGTAAAACAGAATGAATTGTCAACAAATAAACAAATTCTAAATATTTGTTGTTGTTTCAGGTTGTTGAGACTGGAATAACAAAGTAACAAAACAAGGCAACGAATCCGCGGAGCAATGGAAAATCAGAAATGAAATAATAAATAAAATAAAAATTGTAACGCTAGCAAAGTTGCTAGCTAGAGCTAGCAAGTGGGCGAGCAGCTAGCAAAGTTGCTAGCTAGAGCGAGCAAAATGGCCAGAAGCTCGCTAAGGTCTTAGCATAGGCGACCGATGGAGCGAGCGGATCAGCAAATTAAAGCCCATATTTTCCCTTTAAATACAACGCGAAGGAAGCCGTAAAAATCATTCTGGAACGCGGAAAAAGAAGGCACTCAGAGACGAAGCGAATGAAGGAGCATAAGCGTAGCACTGGATCGTGGCAGAGGAGAAGGAAGGAGTCAACTCTGCACCATTGATCATCACTTTTAGACAAGTTTACCATGAACTCAGTTTCTTTTACAGTAGATTTTAATTCTGTCGTTATGAGTATGTTAGGCTAAATTACTTTCAGTAGTTAGGAAGATACAGAACCAATGGGTTCTTAGTTGATGTTTGTTTATTCTTATGAATTACATTCTTGTTTCTAAATTATGCAATCAATCTGATATTTATGCTTAGTATTATTTATGACTTGATCACTCGTAGATAAACACATGAGTCATATATGACAACGGGGATGTTGGTATATGATTCTGATTGGTTGATTGCTAGAATTCGCATGATCTAGGGATAGACTTGTGAATTTTATAACTGTGAGTTCTGGCGTTAATGCTTGTTTTATGAAAAAGTACTAAGGTATTAGGCTTTGGATTAGAATAAAGAATTAAATTACCAAGGGATTGAGATTTAGTTAATTATAGAAAGAGCTGTTAATAATTTAATCTTGAATGTAATCGTAATCGTAAGCAAACTCGTTAAGAAACCATTGGGGAAGTTGAATCCTAACTACGCCTTTTTATTGAAAACTTAAATCAATTCCTTTTAGCTTTAATTAATTCTGAATTAAATTTCTAAAATATTAAAAAACCAAAAATAAGTTTATAAATTCTGTTTTTACTTTAATCACAATATTCTCAAGAAAACCTTTAATGATCGATCCAACTTTAATTAAATAAATAGATTATTGCTTGGTCATCAGTCCTCGTGGGATCGACAACTCTACTTTATCACTTTATTACTTGTACGACTGGTGCACTTGTCGAGTTCGTCAACAAATAGTATAGGCTTAACCCATAGGCCCATGATGAGAAGGGGATTAGGGTTGGGCTTGGATATCTATAAACTGATCAGTGTGGATAATAGTATAGGCCTAACCCATAGGCCCATGATGAGAAGAGGACTGAGTTAATAAGTTTGGCTAGGTTCCCTCTACATTCATATTGTGTTGAAAAATTGTCACTCCACAACTTCTCGTCCCATCGAAGGTTGTGATCAGGGACTAGTGTGAATTACAAAGAAAGATTTGATCTTTCCATTGCAGGAGCATCAAAGGAAAGGAAAGAAACCTTAAGGCTTTGTTCGGGAGTTGGTTTTAGGAAGGGAACGGAAAGGAAGGGAGGGTTTTAGTAAGCCCTTCTTTTGTTTGTGAGTTTAAAAAAAGGAGGGCAAGAGTTTGGAGATTTTTACTAAACCCTCCAAAATCCTCGTACTTCTTAAAATTAAAGTTCCCCCAATTTGGAGGGTTTGAGGGGAAAAATATTAAAAATTATTTATCTACCTTTAGCATTAAAATGTTAAAACTACATAATTGTGAATCATTTTTAAACACGATATTATTAGAAAAGTCTCAAATACCGACAGAATTTATTGACGAAAAATATTTTGTCAAAAATAGTGATGAAATTTTTTATGAAAATCATATACGTCAAAAAATTTCCGTCAAAACTAAAGACAAAATTAGAGACGGAACCAGATTTTACCATAATCACTAACATAAATTTTATACGAAAAAAAAATTCAGTCAAAATTATTGATAGAATCTAAATTGCGTCGAAACTTTTAACGAAAATATTTTCGTCCAAAATTTTGATAGACATTTCCATCGAAAAGTTTCGACGTAAAACAATTACGTCAAATTTTTTTACGGAAAATATTTCCATCAAAATTTTGACAAAAAATATTTCTGTAAAAAATTTTGACGAATTATTTTTTTTGTCAATTTTTTTTTCGGAATCTAAATTTTGCAAAAATATTTTACAAAGAAACATATTCATAAAAAATTTTGACGAAAAATTTCAACGAAATACATTTATATCGAAAATTGTTGACGAAAAAAAATTTCATCAAAATTTTTAACAGAATTTAAAATCCGCCGAAAGTTTTGGACGAAAATATTTTCGTTAAACTTTTTGACAAAAAAATGTCAAATTTTTTAATGAAACACATTTCCATCGAAAATTTTCGACGGAAAATATTTTCGTCAATTTTTTTGATAAAAAACATTTCCATCAAAATTTTAAAACGAAACGCATTTTGTCAAAAAATTTCGAAAAAAAATATTTTCGTAAAAGTTTTTGATGAAAAATATTTCGACAAAAAATTTTAACGGGAAAAATATTCTGTCAAAATTCTTTACAGAATCTAAATTTCGTCGAAAGTTTCGAATGAAACATTTCCCTTAAAATTTCTAACACATTAATTTCTGTCGAAATTTTTGTCAGAACACATTTCCATCGAAATTTTGAACAGAAAACGTTCCGTCAAAATTTTTGACAGAATTTTTTTTCGTTTAAAATATTTGATGGAAAATAAATTTCGTCGCAAATTTCGATAGAAAATTTATTTTTGTAAAAATTTTCATCAGTTGAGAAATTTCGTCGCTTTTCGACGAAAAAAATAATTTCGTATGAAATTTTCATCGTTTACAACGTAAAAATTTCATCGAAAACATGATCTTTTTTGGTGTTATGAAAAGTACATACATGATTTTGTTAGAAATTTTAAATTAAATTAAATTAAATTTATAAAATATAATATTATATTAATTAAAAAAAAGAAGGTAAAATGGTAAAAGTATCTTATTAACCCTCAATTTTTCTCCTTTACCATTTTTTTAACTCCCAAACAAAGGAAGGGAATACCCTCCAATTTTCTTCTCTTCCCTCCCTCTTGGATCCCTTTCCTTCTCCTCCCCTCAAACTCCCAAACAAAGCTTAAGGGGGCGTTTGGTACGATGGTTTTTACAGGATTTTCGGGAAATTGAATTTTTCTAAATTTTAAATTTTTAAATATTATCGTAAACTGAATGTAAAAATCATATTTTTGAAAATTGAGATTACTGAACAAAAAAAATTTCTCCTCTACCAAACGCCCCATAAATCTTTTGGTATTCTAATTTATACAATCTCGTTTTGAAATTTCTTACAAAGTCGTGTTCAGATTTTAATTTTTCATCTGTAAACAAAAACATATTATATTCGAATTGAATAATTTACCCCACAAATCTGACGTTAACAGCGCAGACATGTTTTACCACCCTGTTATTCCATACCCGAAATAGTAAATATAAATATAATAAGCAATAACACAATTTGGTGAAAATAAAAAAAAATTGACTATTGTTGTCTTGTTGGTGAGCATGCGAGCGTGGGACCCCAATCACGGTCCTCGAAATTGGAGGGAAACTCTCCAGTTTTGGTCCACCACACATCAGAAGCATCTCTTCTTCACATAAACAATTATTAACTACGCGCTTCGCTGTAGCGCGTGACGTAACACAACCCATCGAACAAGGTCTTGGTGTTTGCTTACTTGTTTTGGACTTTGTTGGATTGGAATAAATAACGCCGTTCTCTTCTCGTACAACCCAACATACAACATTGTTTCTTTCATTATTGTTATTATATATTATTATTTCTCATGTAGAAAATATTATCTCCTAAATAAAAAAAAATGAGAAAATAAAATAAAATAAGTTTTATATATTTTTATGTATGTATAGGAAATAAGAAACATAAATCTCTTGTTATCATTATAATAATTAGATATCAATTTTAACTTGTATTAAATAGAGTATAATTAAACGAAAGAAAATATAAACCAATATGCGATGGTAATTATTACGATGAATATGATAATAAAAAGGGAAAGATAGAAAAGAAAAAGAAGGGGGCAAGAAAGGGAAAGGTGCATAAAAAGGAACCCAATGGTTGTGACTTTAATCTATGTGAGTGTCTGTTACACACATGGGATTCGAGAAATTTTGGTTTGATTAGTGAAATTTTGGGTTTAACAATTCCCAATAGACTCTTGAGAGTTTCACTTTACCCTTCACTTCACTTTGATGTGAGAAGCATTAACACACAAAAAAACACACATCGAAATCAAATCATATGTAACCTCAAACTCCAAGGTTGTTTGTCTTGTGTTTTTTATTTTTATATTTTTATTTTGTGCTGCGCTAGGGTTTGAGCTCGAAGGTGGTGGTGTGAAGTGAAACTGAGGGCACTGAAAAGTGGATTCAAGTTGAAGCTAATGGTTTTCAGTGTTAAGAGAGTTTGATTCCAAGATCGAGCATTGGTGATGCAATCATACCTACTCTTAGACCAACACAAACACAAACACAAACACAAACACACGAATCGCTGGTTTGATTCAAAATGCAATTCGCAAAGCTCGATGATTCTCCTATGTTCCGCAAGCAGGTTACTCACTTTTCTTCTCTGATCTTCTCTCTCTCTTTTTTATTTCTCACAGTTTAATTTTTGATGTTGTGTGTAATGGATGTAACGCCAATTAAAGGGTAGGGTGTGTAACTAATGTGTGAGTAATAGTGGTTTAAGTGTTTCTGGAAAGAAAATGGAGGCTTGATTTCATGCATGTTGTAAATGGTATTCGATGTTATCAAATGAAATGTGAATATTCTGAAATCTGAATGCTCAAAAAGTCTAAGCTTTGTTTCTCTTTAAAATAATCCCAAGGATCCCACAAAAAAAGAAGAAAGTGGTTCCCTCCATAGGCTTCTGTGTTTTCTAGCAATGGGTCATGGCCTGCTGTTCCCTGCATAGACTTATGGTCTGTACTAGTGGCACACCTGGATACGAAAAATGCCGGTATCTGGAAGTGAATCCCGACCAGGTAATCTACATTTTGTTGGTCTCTGAGGTAACATGAGGTTAGTCAGACATGTAAGGGGGAATGTGTTGGGACTTGGCACACTCAATCAACGGTGCATGGAGTCACTGTTGGAGGGTCTTCTGGTTAAAGAGAGCGATGGGTGGCTGAAAATTAGGTAGAGATTTGGTGAGCAGTAAGAGTGAGGAAGGCATCAACGGTCAAGCAAGAGCTCTATCGAGAGAATCCATAGGCTTTTCCCCTGTTTTTACCCCACCACTAGCTGGGGTAAGAAGATTTAACCCCTAAATGTGGAGAAATGTTAAAGGACAAACCCTGGTGCATAAGGCTCCCTGACTTGCAAGGGTAGGGGTGAGGTTGATTGTTTTTGCAAAGAGACTATTTTCCAGACTTGAACTTGGGACCTTCCGGTCACAATGAACAACCTTACTGCTGCTCCAAGGCTCGCACATGAGGAGAAATGTTAAACTTTTCTAGATTGTTTAAATCAGTAGTGCATTGCTCTGTTTCATTACTTCACAACTTAACAATCTATTCCCAATTGCTACGCTAAACCATGTTGGTATTCTGATATTAAATAATCCATTATTCTCTAATATTGGACTTTGATGTAAATTTTGTAATAATATTTTATGCTTTCGTAAACCATTGAAGTATCTCTTGGAGATTCTGAATTATACTCATTGCTTTTTGGTTGAATGACTTGATAACTGCAATCCCTTGTAAATTTAGAAATTTAGCGGTTCTTCTCTTTGAGATTATTTGTTCATGGTGGTTGGAGCTATTTAATGACAAATTTCCATAGTATGTATGATACTTTGTCATTGTGTTGCATTGCATTCAACAATGATGCTGGTATTTTTAACTTATTTCCCCGCTTTGTTTTAGAATTTTATACAATGCAGTCATTTTCAATTATTATATTGATTGGTTCTTTCTTAACTGACTTGGTTTATGCTAAGATTATTTATCCTTGAATTCTTTGGTGAAACAGATACAATGCATGGAGGAAAGTGCTGAATCTTTGAGAGAGAGAAGTTTAAAATTTTACAAAGGATGTAGAAAATACACGTATGTAGTTATTTGCATCTTATCTTTATCAATGTCTAATGATTAATGGCCATGAATCTTTGGGAACATGCTCAACTGCTGACATAATATCTGTTATCCTTGTTTATGTGGAAGCATCTTTGCCATGCGAATTTCAGTTTATATATATATTTTTAAATACTTTATTCTTTTAAGTTATATGTCTTCTTTTCAAATGTTGTTTATTAGTTCTGGATTAGCCTAGCTCTGTAGTCTGTTGTTGTCTGGGCTAGTTTTTACGGCTTGTTTCTTTCACGACCTTATTATATAAGCTACATAAAATCAGCCTCAAGTATATTTGTCTTTTGGATAGAAAAATTAGTTTTGATAACAAGTGCGGAAGAGGTAAATAAGGGGTCAGATGTCCTTGACGAAGGCACAAAATAAATCACGGCAAAAGCTATCAAGATGATTTGTTTATAAACCACTCTATCCATTAAAAAAATCATGTACAGAACACCAAAGAGTTTCATGGAAACAATCCTTTTCAACCTAAAAACGACATAAACAGCACAGCACCATAATTTTTTACTTTCTTACTTGTGCTAAACCTTTGGAATGAATCACAAGAATTTCTACATGAAAGTGGCTAATGGGCAGTGCACAAATAAATGGGTTTCTATTTCCAAACTACAGCCCACACATTCCACAATCCTATCCCAACAGATCATTAGTATTATTTTTGTTAACTACTGTTGTGAACCTATCCTTTCAAAAGCATCCTCTACTTTTGTATCTTTTAGAACATTTATTTTCAATATTGCAGAGGAAACATGATACCATATTTTAATAAAAAATTAATATGTTTTTTATGAGGAAAAAAAGAAGAAAGCTTTGATGATTTTAATGTTACATTAATGCATCCTCCATGAAGCATTTCTCATTTTTTATTTTAATTATTTTATTATGTGATTATTATGATACAACAACCATTGTCCATCATCCAAAGGAAAAGTTTTAATGGGTTTATTTTTCTGTTCTTATAGTTTCATTGCTTGATGTTTCTCACAGCTTATCATAACATGTTAGAAATGTAATACAACACCATTCATGTGTTTTCACCTAACAGTTTAAGTTTTTGGGATAGTTGGTTCACGTTCATGGTATAGTACCAAAGTTTCTATGATTACGTGATCTAGAGTTCGATCCTTGCATAAGGTATATGGAGTTGTGTATTGTTCATGCTTTAAGCCCACAATGCTGAGGGAGGGAACATGTTAGAGATGTAATATGAAACTATTTGTGTGTCTTCTAATTGCTCTTACTTTTGTACTTTCCAGCGAAGGACTTGGGGAGGCATATGATGGAGATATTGCATTTGCAAGTGCCTTAGAAACTTTTGGTGGTGGGCATAATGATCCCATCAGTGTGGCTTTTGGAGGTATTCCTCCCCCCCCCGCCCTCGGCTCTTTTCCTCCTGGCTGTTGATTTTACTCTTTTCTCAGTGTCTTTTTCAATGTTTCCATTTTCTATTTACCCCAGATAAACTGCCAGTCATAAAAAATTATGATTTGTTATGCTTAACTTGCTATGTTACACTTTCATTATGACAATTTCAATTCTCATTGAGATAATTTACTTGCATTTTTCTCTATAATTTAAGGTGACTGTACTTGGGATTATCTGACTTCATAATTTGATGTCAAGTCTGTATGTTATCTTTGACTACAAAGCCTAAACAGTAGTGAGATGATTTCTGATTGCATTTCTACCTGCACATCAGGCCCTGTTATGACCAAATTCACTATAGCCTTGAGAGAAATTGGGACATACAAGGAAGTTCTTCGATCACAGGTAAAATATTGTGGTGGAAGTACTTTTTAATCTATTCCTGGTTGCTACTGACTCCTAATGATGCATTTTAAAAGAGAAAAGGAAAAAGGAGGATCTCTTATCCTCCCATCTTGGTGTATTCCCTTCTTTTGTCTGAATGAATAATTAAGATCCAGTGGCAACACTATAGGTCAAAGCATAAAATTTGAAAGATGACTCCCATTATTACCTTTTGTAGTTAGCTATTTGGAAGTATCATCCTGGCTTTTCTGCTTTTTGCCTTTGCCCATCAGTGCTTGGCGACAATGTTTACTTACTGTTAACATGGATTGCTTCTTTCTTTCAGGTTGAGCATATGTTAAATGACAGATTGCTTCAGTTTGTCAATATGGATTTGCAAGAGGTCAAGGTAATGTTTTTTTTTTTTTTTTTTAAGTCTCGTGATAATTTCTTTTACCTTGTCAGTTAGATGTGTACAAACTAATGTGAGAGCTGATGGAACTTTTTTCATACTTGAGTCTGTAAATTTCTTAAGTGGTAGGCTCTTTTGAATGACTTTGCTCTATTTAAAATCTATTTTGCTCGCAATTCACTTTTGTTTCTTTGTTTAGAGTCTAGGATTTATGGTTCGAGTAAGAATTCTCCAGAGCATATAGTGCTCTTGTGAAGGGAGTAGTACTAAAGTATTTATTATTAGATTCTATATAAAAATGAAATTCATGGATGGATGTCACTCCTAGAGAAGCTTGTCAAGTTTTTGGTTCTTTTGTCCAAACAGCTGTTGGGCCTTTTTCTCAACATCAAAGGAACTTATTAATTATCTGCATGTTGTTGAGAGGCAAGTGGAGAGCAAAAGATAAGGCAGCTGCACAATTGTATTTTTTTTATTTGAATTTTTAAATTTTAGCTTTTTCAGTATTTTTCCTTTTGTCATGCATGCTAGTGTAGCTCCTATAATGTTGCCTTAAAGAATCCTATATATGAGCTATGTTTGATTATTGGAAATTTTTTAAACTTAATAGCTTATATATGGTTTTATTTTGGTAATGTTGAATTTGAATATCACCTAAAATTTGTGAGTGAATTATGGACTTAGTTTCTGTTCTAAGGGATCCTCTCTTAGTGCAGGAAGCACGGAAACGCTTTGACAAGGCTAGCCTTATTTATGACCAGGTGCATTTCCATTCACAAATTCTTTATAATTTTCCCATGTAGTAGTATATTCCTCCTGCTTTGAGAATTCGAATGCAAAGCCTACTGCCTATAATAATGATTCATTCAAATAGAATGAAATCAATGGAGATATAATGGATTTAGCAATTTGAATCAACTACTAACACGAACCAAACCCAGGTCTGTGCTTAAAAAGCAAAAGTGGAAAAAATGCCGGGCAACATATATTTTTGCAACTCACGGCTTGTATTGGATTTGCTATTGCTGCTTTACCTCTTGAATATTGGAATACACCTCTACAGTAGAGCCAACAGTATTAGAAGCTGCAAAAGCAAGTTTCTCTCTAATGATTGCTAAATTTGCTATTCTTGCAGACTCGAGAAAAGTTTCTGTCACTGAGAAAGGGGACAAAAAGTGATGTAGCTACTGCCCTAGAAGAGGTAGGCTTTTACGCGACTTATGTGTTGGGTCAGCTTAGATTTATGCTGGTATATATATGCCATTCTTTATACCCTTATATGTTTGGGAAATGTTTCAGGAGCTTCATAGTGCAAGATCTACATTTGAGCAAGCTCGGTTTAATCTGGTTAGTAAATTCATTTGATCAGAGGGTCATAAATAATTACTGTTACCATTACATTTGTATTTCACAAATAAACTTGAAGAGTCTCTGTCCAGGTTACTGCCTTGTCAAATGTTGAAGCAAAGAAGAGATTTGAATTTTTGGAAGCAGTCAGTGGGACCATGGATGCGCATCTTCGTTACTTCAAACAGGTAGGCATATTGTTTAAATTATTGTTTCCCACATTCTTTGTCAAAACGTGCTGATCTTCAATTAATTGTACTTGTAGGGGTATGAATTGTTGCACCAAATGGAGCCATATATTAACCAGGTTCGAAATCTGCTTTGTCTTTAACTAACCCCAACGCCCCACCCCCGTGTGTGGAAGCTTAGGTCATTGATGAAATTATCATCAAGCGGTATATCAAGGGTGTTTAATTTGCAAACAATTAAGCCAGAGTGAAAATGATTAACTCCAGGCTAGTTGTTTTGCAGGTCTTGACTTATGCTCAGCAATCAAGAGAAAGGTCCAATTATGAACAAGCAGCTCTCAATGAAAGAATGCAAGATTACAAACGACAGATTGATCGAGAGAGTAGGTGGGCTTCAAATGGTTCTAATGGGTCTCCTAATGGAGATGGTATACAAGCCATTGGTAGAAGTTCACATAAGATGATAGAGGCAGTTATGCAATCTGCTGCAAAGGGAAAGGTTGAAAAGAGGCCTGGAAATTATTACTTCCCCCCGATGGTTTACTTTTATAATTTTCTTGTCTTTTTTCGTCATGCTAGGTTCAAACTATTCGACAAGGTTATCTCTCAAAGCGTTCCTCAAACTTAAGGGGGGACTGGAAAAGGAGGTTTTTTGTTCTTGACAGTCGGGGAATGCTGTATTACTACCGTAAACAATGCAGCAAATCATCAGTAAGAAGTCTATTGTGAAACATAAGTTGGTTTATGAAGGACTTAAGCTAATATGGGTGGTCTTAACAAATTTCACGTTATATTGTTGTGGTTATTTATCATATATAGGGGTCTAGCAGTCAACATTCTGGTCAGAGGAATAGTTCTGAGCTTGGTTCTGGACTTTTAAGTCGATGGCTGTCTTCTCATTATCATGGTGGAGTACATGATGAGAAATCTGTTGCTCATCACACTGTGAACCTGCTTACATCAACCATCAAAGTTGATGCTGACCAATCAGATTTGAGGTTTTGCTTCCGGATCATTTCACCAACTAAGAACTACACTTTGCAGGTTATTAGATATGATTTTTGGATTTTTTTAATTCATACAGGGATGGTGATTAAGGCTTTATAGTTTCATTCCTTAATTATGCTTGTCAGTGCAGGCAGAGAGTGCGCTAGACCAAATGGATTGGATTGAAAAGATCACAGGTGTTATTGCCTCATTGCTGAGTTCTCAGATTCCTGAAAGGGTAACTGCTAAGAACTTTTGCTTACTATTAGCAACAAAAGTTCAGTCAATTTGATTAATGTTACCTATTTTTATCAGTTGTTGCCTGCAAGTCCCATGGGAAGTGGTCATCATAGGTCTACCAGTGAGAGTAGTTCTTTTGAAAGTTCAGATTTTGATCACTGTGCTGTTGAGGATTGTACAGCTGATAGAAGTCTTGCTTCTGCGCATCCGGAACGCCCCTCAAGAAGTTTGCACCAGCCTCGATCCTGTATTAAAAGTGAGAAGCCAATTGATGTGTTGCGAAGAGTTTGTGGGAATGATAAATGTGCTGATTGTGGTGCCCCTGAACCTGATTGGGCATCACTTAATCTTGGTGTTCTTGTTTGCATTGAATGTTCTGGTGTTCATCGAAACCTTGGCGTGCACATATCAAAGGTAGACCACACAAGTGCACTCCCTCGATCCTTGTTTATGTTATATCTTCAAATCATCTGTTTATTTTTTATTGTCATTTGTAAGGATGCTTGACAATGAACATAGTGTAAGAAAAGAAAAAAGAAAAAGGAATTGATATAAATTGTATAATTTGAAATAGCTGGCTGTCTTCATGAATTATCTCTCACTGAAGAACCATTATTGGTAAGTTGATAATTCTTAGGAATCCAGTATTGGCTGGCAGAATTATTTGTTGGATATACAGAGAGAATGGAGAGTTCTTTTATCTTTCTTTTTTTAATTTCTATTTTTTACTTGTATCTTGTCCTGTTAAGAGGGTTTTGATTCTCCTGTTCTTTGTTTCTTTTCTCTTCTGATAAATTCTTTTATAAAAGAAAATTTTTAGAAATCCAACTTTACACTAAACTAGTAAACTACACAATGAATGTTGATAGATATTTTTATGAAGTTCAACCCACTGCATAAGTGCCTTTTTTTTTATAGTTACTTAGAGGTTAGGATTGTGATGAAGATTACAATTGAAGCTACTTGTTTGAAGTTTGAGTGCCTTTTGTAATAGCAAATAATTGATAGTGTATTACATAATTTTGGCGTCATTGTATTTGGAGAAGACACTCCTCTCCTGTTGTGAAAAGTATGCACATTCAGATTGGGTAATTGTAGGAATATTTGCTTTTCGTGACTGATCACATGCTTTCCTGTATATTGGTTATTTAGGACCAAAGTATCTTGTTTGGTGCTGTGTAAAATGATACTTGTGCCTGGTTGAGTTCCTTTCCTTTCTTTATATTTAGGTTCTAACTATAGCTTCTATTTGGTGATGGGGCTTCAATAGATTGATCAGCTAGCTCCTTTTTCTCACTTTTGTTGTAGGTCAGATCACTTACATTGGATGTTAAAGTGTGGGAACCTTCTGTGATAAGTTTATTTCAGTCTCTTGGGAATACTTTTGCCAACTCAGTCTGGGAGGAACTATTGCAATCGAGAAGTGCCTTCCAGGTTGATCTTACAGGGTAAAGAATCACCATTATTATATCTTTGCATTAGATCCATTTTGTTATTATTATTATTATTATTATGTAATGCTGATATTCACTTCTACTAATCATGAAGGTTGAACAAGTCCGATAAACCACTGATGCTTTTTATCACCAAACCTTGTCAGTCTGATTCTCTATCTGTAAAGGAAAAGTTCATCCATGCAAAGGTATGACTATAACCTGCTTCTACACAGGCTCCTCAGACTTTCAGCTCTTACTAGCAGAGAAAGATGTCATTTAGTATTAAAAAGAAAACCTGTTAAAATTACTTTAGCATTTTGATGTGTTTTAGGGAAAATTAGGAATGAGGACGGATGAAGGTTTTGATTTTGGAATAATTTAAAGTACTGTTGTCACAAACACATCTGGATGAGAGTTTAGATTGAGGAAGTTGAAGAAGAAAAGAATGTAGGATACACTTAGAATTTCTAGACATCACATAAAAGAATGTGTTTCTCAGAAATAAGATCTTATTAGCACTCTTGATAAATTGTTTACATTACTGAGATAAAACTAGTGGTAGAAATTTGGAGACTAAGTTGTCAATGTGCTGACAGTTTATGATTTTGAATTATTAGTGAAAAGACAACTCTTTTAATACATGCCTTAAAAGTTAGTATAAATATGAGTCTAAGTAATAGGAAAAGTAGGGCATGTTTTGTTTAAGAAAACGTTTTATGTTTCTATTTCTTGTTTTCACTAATAATTGCATAAATGTTGTTTTCATCATTTCCTGTACAAATCTTTGAAAATAGGAAACAAAGTAAAACAAGGTGGCATTTTTGTAATTAAAACGTTTTCTTAAACTAAACATGCCCTTAATACTTCCTTTTTAAATTCCTTCCCCTCTCATTTTCAACTTTGTCTCAAAGCTTGGTATGGTATTTCCAACAGAATATGGCTTCCCTCTGCCATAGTATTTTCCAAATCTCTGGCTTATAGTTGCATCATGTGATTTTGTTCTCCTTTTGTCATTGCTGTTACTTGTGGGAGTTTATTCGAGAACACGTGTCCTCCAAAACAGATATTTTGATTAAACATGAGTGTGTGCTGATATAGTTATCACTTACTAGAATGACTGCATTTTATGCTAATATATGGATTGTTGTATTCCGACCCCAACTAGTTTGGGATAAAGGTGTTGTTGGTGTTGATGTTTATGTTGATATGGAATGCTCTATTCATAAATTTGGTTGACACTTCTGAACAAAATTATATAACTGAATATTTATGCTTTTTGACGGTAAATATACTCCTTTGTGACTGAAAAGTTCCGAGTTTGAATTTAAGAAACAGACTCTTTGCAAAAATACTAAGATAAGGCTGCATACGAGGATTTCCTCATCCCTACCCTTGCAAGTCGGGGTCTAATGAGGAGCTCTTTTTAGAGGACTTGTTTGAGTGAATACTCTTTCATTTTTCATAAATAATTTATTAAACAAGATTAGTAGTTGTTAGCATTTTTTTATTAGCTTTAAGATGCCCAGAAGGGGTATAATGAGTGGGGTGATGCCCTCTATATGACTTGAATTGTTGCTTAATGATTACTATGTAAAGAGCAGAACTTATTTGATTGCATTTTGGATTGTAAGCTCAAACACGTGGAGATGCATTTACTATGCTAACTGTACTTTATGTATTTACTTTTTTCTTTTATACTATCGAGCCTTTTGTGCTACCTTCTAATTGCTGTAATTCAGACTCCCTGGGCCTGAACCATTTCTATTTTCATGGCAGTATGCAGAGAAGCTTTTTGTTCGCAAGCCAAAGGACAATCAATACCGTCTCTTGGTGGCACAACAGATCTGGGAGGCTGTTCGTGCTAATGACAAAAAAGCTGTATACCGCTACATTGTTAATTCTGACATTGATGTTAATATTGGTTATGAGCAAACATGCAGCAGCTCCTTAACCCTTGCCAAAGTAATGCTATTACAAGAGCAGACAAGCCATGATATCAACTCTAATTTGTCAGGGAACACATTGGACTGGTCCTCTACTAGCTCTTTAAATTTGGGGGGTACTAAAGAAGGCCAGGCTATGGACAATCTAGATGGGTGCACCCTACTTCACCTTGCTTGTGAAACTGCAGATATTGGCATGCTGGAGCTCCTACTACAGTATGGTGCTAATGTTAATGCAACTGATTTGAGAGGCCAAACACCACTACATCGCTGTATTCTCAAAGGCAGATCTACATTTGCGAGATTACTGCTTTCAAGGTAAGTCTGATATACTTTATATGATGGTTTACCTTGTTCCTTCAACAATTATCTAGTCAGCTTCAACTCTATAATATTGTCATTTCAGTGATCCTTCCAGGTACTATAAAGGGCCATATGCTGATTCACTTATTCTTTGAGTTTTATGCTATTTACATTTTAGCCATGGTTAATTGTATACTACTGAAATATTTAACAATGCAGGGGTGCCGATCCTCGAGCCGTGGATGACCAGGGAAGAACCCCTATTGAGCTTGCTGCAGAATCAAATGCTGATAACAGAGAAGTCCTTGCTCCATTGACTGATTCTAATGGATGACACTGATAGGCAGGGTCCCTGGAGCTCCAAGTACATTACATATATAAAGATATGGAAGATTGGATTATGTAAATTTGTATTTCATAAATTCAAAAGCTGGTTTTTTGTTTTTGGAAGGAAATATCACTAGAGTCGCAACTAGTTTGGGTTGTTGATGTTGAAGGAAATGTCACTGGTGTTAAAGGATTAAGGGAGAGTGGTAGGTCGAAATGCCTGCCCCTTGGTCATGTGCAAAATAGTGCTAAGATTTTTAATGTCAAATGGCCACATTGGTCTGAGTCATGAGCAGTGCTGCACCGGTGACTTTGTAACATGTTGTTTGTGTATTTTCGTTTATTTCCTTTTGTGGTAAAGTTGGGATGCATTAGGCTAGGGATCTGTGTATGTTGTGTACATTGGTTTTATTTTTGTGAAGCTGTTGTGGCTGTAATTCACTTGTGTATTTTTGGATCACTTGGTGGGAGACATTGACTCAAGAGGGATACATGTTAGGTCCCTGGTTCTCCAGTTATCTGATATCCTTATGTTGATAAAATAAATAAATTTCAGAAGCAAAAAGATAAAAGAAAATTACCATTCAAAGTGCACCCTCAATTACATTTATGAGCTCCCACAGAAAAGGGGAATTTGGGGTTGGAACATTGAAAGGCAGTATCAAAACTATAAAATGATCCTGATCTATGTCTATTCATTTTTATTTTATTTTATTTTTGTTTTGTACCTGCACGGTCAAAAAACCTACGAATGAGACGTTATATGAGTGTTACATCCTGTCAATTACAGCATCAAAATTGTTGCACAAAACAACAAGTGTCTAAGGTTGACAAGATAGTATTCGATAACAAATAAATCTTTTTTTTTTTTTTTGGGGTACATTGGAGGCACTAAGGTCTGAAAACTTAGATTACCCAAACCCTTCACCGTTAGAGCAAATTGGGAGTTCTGTTTTTATCACTGTTCCCATCTCAAAAACGAAGCAGTTGGTAGCTTATGTGGCTGTAATGTAGTGGTTCTGTGTAGTGTGATTAACTTGTCATAAGCTAACAATGTTATGCTTATAAGGTAATTATGGGCAAATTTAAAAAATTATTTTATTTTCATTAGTTTGCAATGTGATTTATTTTAATCTTAAAAAATAATTATAATGTGATTTCTTATGGTGTTAAAAATATATTTTATTAAAATGTATTTTAAATTTTATATATGGTTAAAAAAATTATAAAATGAAGTCGACAAAAAAAAAAGTAATCAAACGAATTTATTCCTTCTTTCAAGTTTTTATAAACTGTTTTACGAATAAAAAAAATCAAAATGCAATCAAACAATTGATTCAAAATCGTGGTGTAACGTGTATTCCCCCGTTCCGGTCATGGAATAGACGAAACAAACCAAAAAATAAATTTTTGTTTTCCTATTATATATATATATATATATATATATATATATATATATATATATAATATAACACTATAAAATAACATAACACTATATCATATATTATATAATATAACACTCCAAATTTGCATTAGATTTATTTATTTTTTAAAATTAGAATACATAAAAAATTAAAACTCTATAAAATGATTGTGAATTTGGAGGGAGAAAAAGAGCGAAACTATATATTTATTTGATTTAATTTAAATGGTAAATATGTTTTATCTGCTTAAATAATAATACATGAAATACTCTTATTTTTTAAATTCTATATCTATCTATATATTGAACAAATTTTTAGTGTAATCTCGATGCAATGGTGATATTATAACTATATACTCCCCGAAATACATAATTATAATACCACGATTGCACTAAAAATTTGTTTCTATATATTATTATACAAAACATAATATAGACAAGTGATTTTCATATCACCCCTAATTTATACATGAGATTCTTTTCTTCTAAATTCAGAGATAATTTTTAATTTTTATATTATTCCATTGCTTCTGGGTTGATTTCATTTTGTTCGGTTGATTAACTTAGTGAGGAATATTTGTGAAAGTTTGCTTTGGGTTACATTTTGGATTAAGAAAAAAAAAAAAGTTTAAACGGAACTGACCCTATCCAATTTTATTTACTAAGCCTATGTATTTTTCATTATTCTTAATTGCTTGACATGAATTCTAATTTAAAATCTATTTACTTGTCATGATTCATCAGTTATAAAAAAAAAAATATGATTCATAGAGAAAAGAGTATATAATTTCATCAAATTGAAAGAGAGATCAATATAAGATTTATTTATTTTTTTTTGAAATTTTAAATTGACTAGTAATATATAATTTTATATTGTATATATATGTGTGGGATGGGGATTCACTCAACCCCATGAAGCTAGGACTGGGATATTTCATATATTATACTTAAACAAATTGAATTACTTTTTTAATCAATACAACATTCATTTTGAATTACACCGTCCTATTCCTATAATCCTATTATACCTACATCACATTAGTACAATAATCTAAAATTACATAAAGATTTATTCCTATTCATAAGAAGGACTTCAAAGTTAAAATGTGATTAAAGTCATTCCTAATCTTAGCAGCTATACCAACTGTCACTCTACAAAATAAAGAGAAAGAAAAAAAGATTGAAAAGATAAGACAGATAGAAGGAAAAGAAAAAGCATGCAATAATCTAATTGTAAATGTAACAATGTAAAAGCAATTATTCCATCCAAAAAAAAAAAGAAAGAGAAAACTTTACTAATCACACACCAAACATAATAACACACTGCAAGAGTTGTTAACCACTCACTATTAGTATAGCACAAATTCCCGTGCACAGTGTGACTCAACGGCTCAGATATAGTTTCATGAGATCAGACGGTTAACATTCATTGTACATTCAGCCCCTCACGGATTTCGATGTTTCGCTTTCGGACCAAAGATGGACCCCACATAGTACTGTGTACTCAGTGATGGCTACTCACAAAGGCGGGAACCCATTTTTGTCGCAGAGGCATGGCCCTTTCTTGTCATGAGATGAGAGAGAAACAATGTGTTTAGTTTAGAGAGAGAAAATAAGACACAACATAACACAATCCAATGACATTGCTGTTTCTGAGGAGTGTTTGTGTTTCTTGTTGTTGTTGCTGTTCATTCTTGTTTCTTTGCCATGCTCATGCTCCCTTCAATTTTTGTTCAACTTTTTGAGTTTCTGTGTTATTTACAAGGTAAAAAAAAAGGAACTTGTTTCTGGGTCTGGTTTTGTTAGTCCTTGCTAGAACCTTGGAACAGTGTTTCTTTTTCTTTTGCAGGTTGAAATTTTTGTTCTGATTCGAGTAAAGGTGGAAAATTTATGGGTGAGAGAAGATAAAAAAAGATTGGATTCGGTAGAAAATGATAATGATTCGATGAGGACACATTTGCTTGCTTTTTATGGAAGCTTTCTTGTGAAGATTTTGGGTTGAAAAGGTTGCGGAAGATGCTTATGCTTATGCTTATGCGTGTACTCTTTTAGACCCATTTTAGCATCAAGTATAAAAATTTGGTCTTGGGACTGCTATGGGTTGGTTTCAAAGTGTTGTGTGCAATTTGCATATGGGGTTTTGAATATCTGAGAAATTCATGCCTCATTTTGGAGCTTCTGAGATTGATTTGTGGTTGTAGCTTTGTTTGTTGTGCTTTAATGTTTAAGAAAAGACACACCCCTTCTTCTCTGGCAAGGGAATTGTTAGCATTCCAGCCATTGCTTCTTCTGTTCTTGTTCAGCTTGCACCAAAACACTGTGCAATGCCAGGGAAGGTTGAGTAAACACATGTCTTCTGAGCCTCCCTCACCGTCTAGGCCATCACCATCACAATCAGAATACAAGGATGACCCTAGGAAGCTCATTGTTAGCATCGTTTTAGGAGCAGTCACTGGACTATTTGGTTCTTTTCTCTTTGCACTTGTAGTTCGTTTTGTTGTTCAGTATCTGAACCGTACACCAATCCTCAAGGGACCTGTTATATTCTCCCCAAAAATTGTACCCAAGACACTCCAATCAGCTTTGGCAAAAGAAAACTGTTTGCTTGGTTCGAGTCCAAATGGGAAATACTACAAAACGGTGCTTGATAATGGGCTTACAATTGCAGTCAAAAGGCTAACACCCTTTGAAAGCAATTCCCCAGAGATCAGGAGAAAATCAGTGAAGAGGCAAATACAGATAGAGTTAGAGCTTCTTGCCAGCCTAAGACATAGGAACTTGATGAGTTTGAGAGCCTATGTTCGTGAACCTGATGGGATCTCTTTGGTTTATGACTATGTATCCACTGGGAGTCTTGCAGATACATTGAATAGATTGAGGGAAAATGAGTTGCAGCTTGGTTGGGAAGTTAGGCTAAGAATTGCTGTTGGTGTGGTGAAGGGTCTTCAGTATCTTCATTTCACTTGTGTGCCTCAGATTCTGCACTACAATTTGAAGCCTACAAATGTCATGTTGGATGCAGAGTTTGAACCCAGATTGGCAGATTATGGATTGGCCAAACTTCTACCCAACTTGGATAGAGGGACATCTGTCAACAGCCCCCCTGAATGTTTCCATAATTGCAGGTAAAGACAAATCAATGGATTTGAATCAAACTCATTCACTGGTGTTTTGAATTTGGTCTGTTTCTTTTTTTACACCAAAAGGGTAAACAGGTGGTTGATATTGGGCATTTGTTTGATTCTTACCTTGTTTAAAAGCTCCACACCTCATTGGGGTTTTCCTCTTTGGAGCACCTAATCAGAGATTCTTGTTGTGACATGAAATCAATATTCTGTATTTTCATGATGCCATTTGCAATTGGCATTATTAAATGAAAACTTTGTGCAAAATTAGCATTTTTTTTTTATTTGTAAGCATTACTTCCTGTTGTCTAGTTTTAGACCTTAGGCACTCGGTATAGTCCGATGGAATATAGTTTACATGCTGTAAACTACTAAACTTCGATTAGTGATTGAGAACCCAACAAAAAAACAAATAAAAACAATTAATGAAGATTTGTTCCCAATTTAAGTTATTATATCAATAATCAATAATAATAACAATAAAAATGTTGCTGGATGCATTGCATATATGGGTGTATGGTTTTTGCCAATAAGATGTTTGGTCATTCCATTCTTCTATGTAAACTTAATGGTATTCGGATTAAATTGTGTTTTGCAATTTCAGCAGGTACACAGACAAAAGTGACATCTTCAGTTTTGGCATGATATTAGGTGTTTTATTAACGGGTAAGGACCCTACAGATCCATTCTTTGGAGAAGCAGCCAGTGGTGGAAGTTTGGGGTGTTGGCTGAGACACTTGCAGCAAGCAGGTGAGGCACGAGAAGCTCTAGATAAGAGTATTTTGGGGGAAGAAGGAGAAGAAGATGAAGATGAGATGGTAATGGCTCTCAGGATTGCTGCTGCATGCTTATCTGATATGCCTGCTGACAGGCCTTCCAGTGATGAGCTTGTTCACATGCTAACGCAACTGCACAGTTTTTGAAGCAAACACTGATTCTTCCCTTTTCTAGATTTTCTTTTCTTTTCTATGATAAGATGATTGTTTTGCATGATCTTGATTTTCATGGTGTGGTTGCCAATCATTTTCCTTCTCTTTATTTTTCTTTTGGCTGATTTTGCGGATTATGTTTGTAAATGACTAGTGATGTTAACAAGTATGTGTTTTCTTACCTAGTGCCATTGTTGTGTCCCAGATGATGATGCATTGGACGTTGTTCACATATACATTTTCCTGTACACTTGTAGATTGTAATGCTAATACATGAATTTTTCCCCATCATTTCATTGCAAAGTAAGCATTGACAAAGATAAATTGAAGTTTTAGGCTCAGACTCAAGCCATCACAGAGATTAATATAACGGAACAGTAATCAAAATGTCACTTTTTAGCAAAATTTTTATTCAAATGTCACGCGAACAGTACTGTTTATTAGACTGTCACGTGGGCGTAATTTGCTACGACTGGTAGCAAATTATGTTTATCAATGATTTTATGATATGTGGCACACTTTCGCAGAAAAAAGTTGACGTGTTATAATTCGGCACCAGTGGTAACGAATTTGATCTGTAATATAGTTACGTGTCACGAAATCATTGGCCACGAAATTCGTTATCAGTCGTAATGAATTATGACACGTGACAGTCTGATAAAAAATATTGTTCGTGTAGTATTTGTGTAAAAATTTTAACAAAAAGTGACACTTTTGTCAGTGTTCCTTAACATAACAGTTAGGGGGCGTTTGGTTGAGGAATTTTTTTTGGAATAGTAGGGAAATGAGATAGATAGAGAAATGATTAGAAAGATAGATAAAGTGAGATAGGTAGAAAAATGTAAAAAAAAGTTGTTTTGTTGGAATTAATGAATGAATTAATGTACAATGATCCATTGGTTATGAATAAGAAGTGGGTTAATAAAGAAAAGAGAAAAAGGGAAGATGAAGAGGTGTGTGGGTTTCAACAAGTCCCACATTGGACAATTAGTAGGAAATGGGAGAGTATATAAGCTCCCACTTCCCTCTCTTAGATTGGCCCTTGGGTCACTACATGTTTTATGTAGGGGGAGAGCTAGGTGAGCATTGGTTCACCACACGCGCGCGCCGCCGCCGCCGTCCGTCCGGCCGGCTCGGATCGGATCGGTTCGGTTCGTAGTGTGTAATAAAAAAATAATTTTTTAATATTTTGTCCAAAAAATTTACCGTTGCTTCCCTCCAACCAAAACGTTTCTGAGTATTGAACCGAGCCGGTCGTATCTGTTCGTCGGAACAGTCACCGTTCGCCGCCATTAGACACGGCGGTTCGCCGCCGGCGACTGTTCATCGTGACCGGTCAGTGTCTATAAATAGACACTGACACCTTCAGAAATCTATCCAGTTTTTTCTGCACTTAAACTCTGCCGGAATTTTTCTTCTTCCGGTTTTGCATACTGTTGTTCATCCTCCGGTGTGACTTCCTCTGGCATATTGTTGTGTTCGTTTGGGCTGTTGATTGGTAGTGCCACCATTCTTCAGACGAAATCCGTTCTATCCTGGGAGACAAGTGTCCATCAACCTTAGGCATCAGTGAGGGGCAAATTGTCTTAAGGAGACACGTTCTGTGGGCTCGGATTTAATTCCTCTGATACTGCATATATTCATCCTTTCATTCTGTCTGTTTCATCATTCTGCCACTGACAAGTAAGTCTGTTTTTTAATATTTTTAATTACACAGTGATAATTCTGATCATCTACCTCCTCTGCTTTATACATGAGTTCAAATCTATTAGTGATATAATATCACCTATTGTCCTCAATAACAATCTTAAGACAATTTGGTGTTTTTGAACCTGTGATCAGTATTTATTTTTCGTTATATATACTGTTTCTGTTTTATTTACTGTGTGATAAATTAATCTGTGTGATTAATTTCGGATTCTGTTTGTGTAACAGAAATGGCTAATGTAAGTACTAGCAATGCCAATGTTACTGCCTCTGTTTCAATGCATGCTGACAAGCCTGAAAAACTGAATGGAACAAATTTCAAACGCTGGCAACAGAAGATGTTGTTCTATTTGACAACTCTGAGTCTAGACCGTTTCCTCAAGGAAGATGCTCCTAAACTGAAAGAGGGAGAAGAGTCTGACAAGGAAAAGGTTGCTGCCATTGATGCTTTTAAGCATTCTGACTTCCTTTGCAGGAACTATATTCTCAATGCTCTAGACAACTCACTGTATAATGTGTACTGTACCCTGAAGACTAGTAAGGAACTTTGGGAAAGTCTGGACAAGAAGCATAAAACTGAGGATGCTGCCTTGAAAAAATTCATAGTTGGCAGATTCTTGGACTTCAAGATGGTAGACTCCAAATCTGTTGTGAGTCAAGTTGAGGAACTTCAAGTGATTGTGCATGAAATTCATGCAGAAGGAATGTCTCTTAGTGAGTCTTTTCAAGTTGCTGCTTTCATAGAGAAATTACCAAACTCTTGGAGAGACTTCAAGAATTATCTGAAGCATAAGCGCAAGCAATTGACACTTGAAGATCTGGTTACCAGATTGAGAATAGAAGAAGACAATAAGATGTCTGACAAGAGGAATGGCAACAATCCTATGATCTCCAAAGCTAATGTAGTTGAAGAGGGATCAAAGTCAAAGAAGAGGAAATATTCTGAAGATGGAAATGCTAAGCAAGGAAAGGGCAAAAAGTTCAAAGGCAACTGTTTCAATTGTGGGAATCCTGGCCACCGTGCAAAGGATTGTAAGAAGGAACAAAGGAAAGATCAGAGGAAGCCACAAAAGTTCAATAAGAAGAAGAAGAGCACTCAAGCCAATATGGTTGATATTGCTGATCAGGTTGAAGAACTGAATCTGGCAGCAGTGGTGATGGAGTGCAATCTGATGGGAGACTCCAACGAATGGTGGGTGGACACTGGTGCCACCAGACATGTCTGTTCAAACAAGGGGATGTTCTCCTCCTATACTACTACTGATAATGATGAGAAACTTTATATGGGTAATTCATCTACTTCAAAAGTTGAAAGAGTGGGCAAAGTGGCTTTGAAAATGACATCTGGCAAGATAGTGACACTGAATGATGTGCTCCATGTGCCTGATATTCGCAAGAACTTAGTCTCTGGATCTCTGTTAAGCAAGAATGGCTTTAAACTTGTATTTGTTTCTGATAAGTTTGTACTTACTAAGAATGATGTGTATGTAGGAAAGGGCTACCTTAGTGGGGGCCTTTTCAAACTGAATGTGATGACTGTAAACAACTCCAATATTATTAATAATACTACTACTTCTGTCTACTTGCTTGAGTCTTCTAATTTATGGCATAGTAGATTAGGACATGTTAATCTAAAGTCCATTAAGAGTTTAATACATTTAGATTTATTACCTAAATTTGAATGTTTAAATAATAAGTGCCAAGTATGTGTTGAATCAAAATTTTCGAAATTACCTTTTAAATCAGTTGAAAGATCAACCGAGTTGTTAGATTTAATACATACTGATATATGTGACATGAAATCTACACCATCTAGGGGTAATAAGAAATATTTTATTACATTTATTGATGACTGCAGTAGATATTGTTATGTGTACTTACTCAATAGTAAAGATGAAGCTATTGTTGCTTTTAAGCAATATAAAAGTGAAGTTGAGAATCAACTCAACAAGAAAATTAAAATGGTAAGGAGCGATCGTGGGGGAGAATATGATGGCCCCTTCGAGGAATTCTGTATAGAGTCTGGTATTATACACCAGACAACAGCTCCTTATTCACCGCAATCAAATGGGATTGCAGAAAGGAAAAATCGGACACTAAGAGATGATGAATGCTATGTTAATTACGTCCGGTTCACCACAGAATTTGTGGGGGGAAGCCATGTTGACGGCTAATTATATTACTAATAGAATGCCCCACAAAAAGATAAAAAGCATACCATATGATATATGGAAAGGAAAGAAGCCATCCCTGAAATACTTTAGAGTGTGGGGGTGTTTGGCTAAGGTTGCGGTTCCTAAACCTAAAAGGTTAAGAATCAGACCTAAAACCGTGGATTGTGTATTCATCGGTTATGCACTTAATAGTAGTGCTTATCGTTTTTTAGTGTATAAATCTGATGTCTCAGATATACATATTAATATGGTGATTGAATCAAGGGAAGTTACTTTCTTTGAAGACATATTTCCGTATAAGAAAATACATGAATCTAGTGGTAATGATGATGATCAGGTTGAGATACCTCGAGATGCTACAACTGATACTGATACCGTAGAGGACATAAAAGATGAACCTAGACGTAGCAAGAGGCAAAAGACCGCCACATCCTTTGGACCTGATTTTATGACATACTTATTGGAAAATGAACCTCGGACGTATAAGGAAGCTATAACGTCCCCGGAAGGACCATTCTGGGAAGAGGCTATCAATAGTGAGATAGAGTCTATCTTGTCCAACCACACTTGGGAACTGGTAAATCTTCCTCCTGGCAATAAGCCGTTAAGAAGTAAGTGGGTGTTCAAAAGAAAAATGAAAGAGAATGGCACTATTGATAAATATAAAGCAAGGCTTGTGGTAAAAGGCTACAGGAAACGTGAAGGTTTCGATTACTTCGATACTTATTCACCCGTTACAAGGATCACATCCATCAGGATGTTGATCGCGGTAGCTGCATTGAATGGATTAGAAATACATCAAATGGATGTGAAAACTGCCTTTTTAAACGGCGACCTGGACGAAGAGATATATTTAGAACAACCTGAAGGTTTTGTTGTTCCAGGACAAGAACGGAAAGTTTGTCGCTTAATAAAATCCCTTTACGGGTTAAAGCAAGCTCCAAAACAATGGCATGAAAAATTTGACAAAGTTATGTTATCAAATGGTTTTCGAATTAATGAATGTGACAAATGTGTCTATGTTCGGAATACTGAAAAAGGTTTTGCCATTGTCTGTCTTTATGTAGACGACATGTTGATCATGGGTAGTAATAATCAAATGATTAATGCTACTAAACAATTACTTAAAAGTAAGTTTGAGATGAAAGATATGGGGATAGCGGACGTTATCCTAGGAATTAAAATCCATAGAACATCTGCAGGGTTGGCATTATCACAGGCTCACTATATAGTTAAGGTTCTTGAT